CCCATTTCCACCATGGCTCACTTCCAGTAGGACCCATTTCCACCATGGCCCACATCGCTCTTTATCCACCGTACCTTTCCGTGAAAGAACCTAATAACTGCTTTCTGCATATCTTTGTTAAAAACTGTGTGTAGATCTGTTAAATTTTACTTTCTGTGTCATTTCCCCAGCCAGAAAGAAAGAAAAAAAAAATCAACGATTCGTTTAGAACCGGAAATAAACCGCTTTCGCTTTCACCACGTCAATGACGCAAGCGAGATTTCAACATGATCTCCTCAATGTTGGGCAGAATCGTCACTGACCTTGGCAACAGCCTTTTCTTGGTAGCCGTCACCGCGTTACTGTTGCTCTACCTGTGGTTGAGACGCCCGGATCCCCGCTATCCTCCGTGCCCCGCGACGCCCCTGCCCCTATTTGGTCATATGTTTATGATTGAGAAAAATCCGAGAGTGCAGTTAGAGCGTTGGAGAAGAGAGAAAGGAGATTTGTACAGGTAAGTTGTTGGGATAATCTGGTAATTTGAGAAACTTGCGCAGGTAAATTGTGGGTCATATTTAGTCTAGGTAGTTTATTGAACTTCTTCGGGTAATTTGTAAGTCATTTTCAGGAACCTTTTCAGGTAAATTGAGGGTCATGTCCAGGTAAATATTGAAACTTTTACATGTAATTTGTGGGTCATTTTCAGGAGTTACATGAAATTTTCCCAGGTAATTGTGGGTCATATTCAGGTAAAACGTTGAACTTTTCAGCTAATTGTTGCGCCTTGTTAACCTAATTTTAGGGTCTTGTTCAAATAATCCTAATTAATTTGAACATCCTACCACACGTACATGGAGATTATAATGTTCAGTCTAGGCTGATGTTAAGTTCGTAGACAGACAATAGTTCGAATACGTCAACCACGCTCAAGTGAACTTTTGTTTTTAAAGTAGTCAGAGATTTACCGACAAGTAGCTTTAGTAACCATGGTAACTGATGTTTCACAAAATCATTTGTTAATGTTGTTTTCAATATCAAC